TGAATAGATCTGGACGTCGTTCTGATGACGTTGTCAAACCAGAACGTCTTCAGGAACAAATTCTACCAATTAAAAAACGTCAACATCTACAAGAATGTGAGTAATTTGATGCTCAAAATAGGATGAGGATAGCAATTGAATCCAGAAGGAATCCAGGTTTCACTCTATATTTTTATTGAACTAATATGCAGACTCTGTCATAACACAGATTAATGACTTTGTAATATATTCATTGTAATATATATTATTTTATATATTTATTTATTATATTATAATTTATTTATTGTTTTACATTTTATCACACAAGGGATATTTACTAGACCTTTATTTGAACAGAGTTACATAAGGAATTCCTAAGAATTACAGGCTTACAATACAATATACTGCTTTGGGCGCAAACTTACAGTTATAATCAGACCGCCAAAGAGATTAAAACGAATATAACTCATAATCTAAAATCTATGGATAATCACGATACGCATAAACATGGTTGATAGATATGAACATTTTTTTGATTTAAAAGAAAACATTTAAATTACCCTTAAGTTATAATCATGTTTTGGTTCAAAGCAAAATTTCTCAAATTCTTTAAATAAACGACTTTCTTCAATACAATCAACTACTGACAGAAAAATACATTCAGATATATGTAGAAAATATAGTTATAAACATTCAGATATAAAATGTTAATCACTGCACTGAAATTGTACTTTAATTTCAGATGAACTGACTAAATGTAAGCAAAGTTAGCCATTTATAAACACTAAATGTTGGGAATAAAGTTTATTATAATTATTATTATTATTATTATTAAATGATGTAATAGACAACCGTTAGAAGAAGATAGAAGAAGGACATTTGTTGTACAATTAAGACCAAGTTGATGATATTCTCAAAAACACGCGAGACACTCTACGTTGACGATCGTCCTGTAGAACAAGGATACAAATATCATTTTACTTTACAAACAAACATTTAAGTCTCCAACTACGAATCCATCTACTGAGATGTTACATATTTCCAGTATTACTGTACGGATCAGAAAGCTGGACACTCAGCCCATCATTGGACAATAGAATAAATGCATTCGCAATGTATGTATACCGTCGAATCCTTAAAATCTCATGGATGGAGATAATATGCATTGAAACAGTGCGTGAGCGAGTGGATAAGGAGAAAGATTTGCTGAGAACAATAAAGGAGCGTAAATTACAATATATAGGACACATAATGAGAGGCGAAAGGTACCATGTTCTCTGTTAAATCATTAAAGGTAAAAGAGAGGGGAAAAGATCTGTGGGAAGACGCCAAAACTCATTGCTGAAAGAATTACGACGTTGGTTTAGTCGCTCATCCATAGAGGTATTCCGGGCTGCAACCTCAAAAAACATCATTGCTAATTGGATCGTCTACCTTCGAAAGGGAATGGTGTAATAAGAAGAAGGATCATAATAAACATTTATAGTCAGATACAAAATGTCAATAAGATCGCATCACCAAAACTTTTTTCTATGAGTCACCACAAAAGCCATTCCTTACCATGTCTTCAAGTTTTGGTTTTAAATAATTAGACCCTACTAAACATATATCTCTTAAAAATGTCGAGTTGGGCATACTTGTTATTCTGGAGGTATGAAGAGTTCAAGTTGGTTTTTGAACCATGATGACCATATCATGTTGACCATATGCGACAACCAAATCACGGTCATTATATGGCTGTAACAACCTATCATACCTATCACCTTCTCTGGTACGACACTTCATATATGCTTTAATTAACAAAAGAAATGTTCTGCTTTCGATCATTTTGGAATTTCTGCACTAGAAAAAAACCTTTGTTCTCGTGTTCAACGTAATAAGAATTTGTATTATTTATGTGATATGAATCTAAACTATTGTAATTACAATTTGATTAATACAAATCAGTAATTAGCATTTCTGAAAATCGAAGCAACTAATTATTTTACTCATTGTCTATCACACGGTATTCAATTTCAAGATATGGAGATGTCTATTATGAAGGTTTATATCGTGGCTTTACATGTTTTTAAACGAGCAGCTACATTCACATTTAAAAGTGAAAACGTTGTCAATATCGGCGTCATAAAGAATTGATTCGCAAAACAAATTTAATAATGCTAAAGCAATTGAAACTACTTCATAGTCATGCTTGAATGTTGCACTGTGAGTGATAAACGTTTAAATGATAATAAATTGGCTTCTGGAATATCCAATTATTGTGTGAGGCCAAGACAACAGACGTTCAATTTTTTTACCTGAAAAATCCATAATGGGATATCAAAACACATACCATCCTATACAGCGGCAAGGAAGCAAGAGTAAAAAAATACGGTGTAGCATTTATTGTGGATAACAAAATCAGATCCAGTATTTTAAACTTCCACCTAGTGAGCGAAAAATATGTACTCTACGAGTAGAAGCACAGTTACAAAAATTTTTGTCATCACATAAGGGTTAAAGCAACGAGATCAGCTCCAACTCTATTTAACCTGGTCAATCTAACTTACTGTGCAATAAAACCGTTCAGTTGGCTGCGTACGCAGATGATTCAACATTATGAAAACCATACAAGATGCAGAGAAAATATATAAAACAATGCAAGAAGCTGTTAAAGCAGTAGAGAATTAATAAGGAAAATACAAAAGTCATGCTCAAGCCTTAGCAGAGAAGAGAGAGATATCTGAAGGAGATGTATGTTAGCTATCAAGGGACATTTTGGACATCCAAATATATTGAAATCAAGAACAATACCCTGCAAAGAAATAAAGACTCCCTAGAATGCTACTACCTAGAAACGTTAGGATGCAGATATTGGAAGAGAAGAGAAAAAATAGAGATTGCAGTGGCAAAAATTGAAGGAGGCTAATATTTGGCAGTGGACTTCAGCACCATAGGATAGTGAGATAAGCGGACGTGAGGTTGGTTAGAACAGCTTTGTCAGATCCAAGCCACATAAGGTCACAATGTCACAATCGTCTACAATATCAACTTTACATAATTCCATTTCTTCATATTTATAGATGTACTGTAGATAGGTATTCGGCGAGATATTCCGATTTCTCTAAAAATAATTCATAACTATACATATATTTGTTTGACTACACTATTATCGATAAGATTTAAATTTAACATTTTATAAAATTATATAGAAGTAACAAACAATATCAACAGGAATAAATTTAATGTTAGTAATGTGATTACTGATGCTCCATAGGTTTGATGAAGTTGTTTGACAACATACCAAAACATACCGAGTGATGGATTGTTTATTTTCTACTACAAATACTTTCTTCGATCTATCACGCTTTCGAATTTCTTATATAAAATGAAAATGAATTTATTTTTCAAAAGACTAAATACTACATAAAAGACTAAATACTAAATACATGAATAACACTTAATCAAAATGTATATTAAAATATTATATGAATATCTTTCATTTATTTCCAACAAATTTTGAGGATTACGTTCACAATATCTGTTACTGTTTTAGTAATAAAAACAATTGGTGATTATTGGTGAGTAAATTTAAAACATTTAATTTTATTAGGTTTCTTATGTTATTGGGTATAAAAGATTTCATCAACGTAGCTAATTGGATCATTAAGATATGTTATTTAATGTTTTTAAACAAAACAAAATTGATCACTTAAATATTAATGGGATGTTGTATTTGATAACGTAAATTTGATCGTAATTACCTAATTAAACTTCAAACCAAACCTTGTTATTGTTCCAAAAATTGTTCTTTCTTTTTAACGAATTTAGAAAAAATGTTGTTTTTCTCGATTATATTAATGCACACAAAGAAACCATACCTTATTCTTTTTTTAAATTTTTCTTTACAAACTTAATTTTCAATTCTCGTGATAAGTTGATCATCTTAAATGTTTATACAGACTTTCAGTTTGAATGAGAAAACGCGTTATAATTACAAGGACATAGCTCATATTAATTTTGTATCATTATTTAAAGTTCAAGTTTACATGAAAAGATTCGATACGGGTTCGGGTTAAGTGCAACTTTCGGTTGATGAATTGAACCTGAAAGTTGATACGGATCTTCGATTTTAATGTAAAGTTTCGACAGTGTGTACTGAAAATTTGAGTCATCAATTTCTCCTCATTAAGACATATTTTCGATTATTTTCATTACTTAAATAATGTAAACTTCTACTTTTAAGTAACAGCAGTTGACATAAATATTTTGGAAGAAGAATATTTTAGTTAGGCACATTCCTGAGGGTGCTCCACATGTTAGGACGAAACCGGTTGAATTAAAATTAAATAAGATTACCAACACTACTTAGTTTTATCACAGCGGATTTTTGTTTGGATTTTACTCAACAACTACAAACGCATCGATATTTAAGGTTTTTAAGGATATTTATTGACAAAATGGTTATTACTATTTAATGTCTCAAACTACAAACATTGTGGAGAATGTTGTAAAATTAATTACTAGTATATTGCATAAAACTTATTTCTCAACTACGTTTTGCAAAGATGCTAATTAATAAAATTACGAGTTGTTTAATATTAATTAATATTGTTTGTTAAATATTTTATCGAAGTTATAATCAATAAAAATAATATAAATATAAATAAAAATTGCAACCTAATTGAAGAGATTGAATGTAAAGTTTAATTAAAAAAAGAGATATTCACATCATTGACTAATTTACATATTTAATTGCAAATTTCAATGAAATCTGCATGCATCTTGTAATATAAACTTCAAGAACACATTTTTATAAATGTAAATCTTGAAAACATATCTCACATTAAGTGACTTAAATGGTACAACGTCTTATTTAAAGGCCACATTCTTCGACTTTCGAATCGTCAAAACACTATCGCAAATATTAACACATATTTTCGAGCAGCGAAAGTTTTGACTCCAATAAACTTTTACTAATTCTCACTTCTTGTCATCTCTCATTGATAAATAAATAAAAATAAATAAAGAAAAACACTTACTTTTAAATTCAATCCCTTGTGGTGTACAAGGCCCCTTATCCAACAAACAAGCAGCATAATAATGGACCAACCTTTTCTGGTTCAGGATATTTTCAATATCTAGATGGTCGTATCTGGTCGTATAGTAACCACCAGGTGGTTCGGCGGTTTTAACTGTAGATGGTGATTGAAGAAGAAAGAACAGTAATAGACTCGCGAACCAAACCATCTCGCACAATCGACATTCGAGTTTTTAATGGAACGCTGTGGTTGTTGGTTTGGTTTTACTGCGCGTTCGAAGAGGACGGTTGCATTTGACTCCTGGGGACAGGAGTCGCAGCAGCAGCAGCAAAATGGTATGCTTGAAATTGTTTGGAGGGTGGAGTGACAGTGGCCTCTACGTGATTTAATAAATATACGTGGTGATGGAGATTGATAATTTAATTGGAATTGTGTTCTAATTCAAAAATTGAAATTAACTGAATTATGTTAAGAATGATTTTAGAATATTATGAAAATTAGATTGAGTCATAGCACAAATATTATATTAATAACATAATTGGAAAAAATAATTTAATACAAAAATATAATAATTATAATAAGTCATTTTGAATGAGTTCTACTTATGTAACACACTCAGCTGATTTGCTAGAAAAAGTTATTAAAACAATGTCGTGTATCTTCCTTAGTCTTTATTCGGGGGTAAATACACAAGAGCTTGACTTTTAATCGGATAATTTTATTTTTACACGAAAGTTTTGTTACCATGGAAATAACTCGAAATCAAAAGCATGATAAAATCGCGACAGCTTTAGCTGGAGCGATTTTATCTTTTGATTTTGATTGAGAGTTATTTCCAAAGGGTAACAAAACTTGAGTGAATTAAAAATAAAATTATTCTGATTTAAAATCAAGCTCGAGCGTATTTTAGGGAGATTAATACACGACAATTGCACAATTTATCAACAATTTTTAATTATTTATTAACTATTTTTGACTTAATTGTAGTTGTCAAAAATGTGACAGGTAAACAAAAGTATATATATGGTAGTCGCGTTTTTATCAGTTATAAAATATCACGTGTGATTTATTCAGTTGAAAAACCTAGGTAACTTTTATCCACTTAAAAAATTACGTCATTGGTCGAAATTTTAAACGATCGTTACTCTGATTGGTTGTATATTATTGGAGTGCATTAATCGTAGTTAAAATATTGACAGATACAGTTATGACATAGATGATCAAAAAGTTAAAGAAAATTACAACTTAAATATGAAGATTAATAGTATCAATCAAGCCCCAATTAAACAGTAGCCTAATAAAATGAGTAAAGATTAACTGTACGTTCCATCTCCATTCTACAAAGAATCCACTCGGTTTGTATAAAATAAAAATAGGTTTGTTAATTGTTTTGTCTCTACTATATAACTACTTACTGGTAATTTGCACATTTTATAAATATTGTCGTTGTATTATCAAGATTATATATTACATCTTACATCTTATGTGCATCTTACATCTTATGTGCAGAATCAACTGAGGTACACTACTAGCTGACGTCTTAATATTAATTCTACATACGTTCTAATGAAGTTACATTTTTAGCCGTTTGCAATTCGACTAAAATCTGAATATATATATAGCCATCTATATGTTTCCGAAAATATATCTTATCAGCAACAACATCGGCAACCAAACACGCGCAACTATTTCACTTTAACTTGTTCAATCAGATACCCAACGATATGACAACAAGTTCAAAGTAGTTGCCTAACAACGTGTTCATTAGCTGTGAAATGAACTCTCTCTACAGAGCATTATATTGAATCGTCGATCAAATGGATGCACCTTGGAAGTACCTCGAATTATTGCATATGTACACTAATTTTTGGTTTATTTGAACAAGCTGTAAGACACTTAAAAGCGTCATGCAGTGAGGCTTCTTATACACCTAAAGATCCGCAAACAAACCGATCTTAAAACGTATTTTATTCAGTACTTGCCAATATGTGAAGTGATGAAGAGGATTTACTTTTGTTTAATTATCTTCGTTTTCGTAAGAGAAAACAGAAATATAAGAGAAAATTTTGGGTGCATCCTTATATTCGCAAAAATACCGACAAGAGGTTATTTATTGCAGCCAAAGAACTATCAGTAGACAACTCTAAATTTCAAAGCTTCTATAGAATGTCTAAAAATACGTTTAAAGAACTTGTGTTAATTGTAGGTCCCACCATTCAAAAACAAAATACTAACATGCGTGAATGTGTTAGTGCAGAAGAGAGATTTATGATAACGTTAAGGTAAGTAAAGTAAATTATTATAAATACAGGGTGATTCAAAAAACCGCTTCTAGACTAGATAATACAAGAAAAATTAAGATGAATAGTCTTAATATATGGGGTCGGAAATGCCTCGTTGGCGAGATATAGCGGATCAAAGTTTCTTTAAATTAAACATTATCTGCAATAAAAAGCACTTTTTTAAAAATATTGTCTACACCATTGCTCTCTACGCGTGTAAAGTGATCAATTATCTATCAATTGGTCTCTTACACAACTTTGATCAAACCAATAGTTTTTAAGAAAAACACGTTTGTAGAAAATTTGTTAATTCAATCAAAAAGTGTTGCTTTAATCAACGTTTTGTAAGAGACCAATGGATAGATAATTGATCACTTTACACGAAAATACTGCCCGTTTGACAAAATTAGCAGTGGAGTTGAAAATATTTTTAAAAAAGAGCTTTTTATTGCAGGTAATGTTTAATTTTAAAGAAACTTTGACCCGCTATATCTCGTTAAGGAGGCATTTGCGACCCCATGTATATTAAGACTATTCATCCTAATTTTTGATGTATTACCTGCCCTAGAAATCTGTCAGCGGTTTTTTGAGTTTTTTGTTTTTGTTTTTTGTTTAAAGAAAATTATTTTGGTCCCTTATATTACTACTACAGCAGGTAAGCTTTCCAAGTTATGAATTGTGTATCCATCCGTGGTGTCATAAATACTGGAAGCTGAAGACGACGCAATACTAATCGGCGAGGAAGCGTGATTGCTTTGTGCGTTATCGTGCATTTGAAAATGATCTATAGATTGCTCTTGCTGCGTTAACAGTTGTTCTAGCAATACAAGCGTTTTAATTTTAAATTGTCGCATATCTTTGCCTGGTAAGTTTTTTATGTCGGGTAATAAACTTAAAAGAAACATCCTTCGATCGTCATCTCATTATATCAAAGACAACTTTGATATAATCTAAAATAGCGTGATCGATTTCATCTTTTTCCTCTATATGTCTTCTCTTTCTTTTCTTTTTTTCAACGTTAAAAGACTTTCTTCAAAAGATTCCGTGACATTATCGTTTTTATTTTCTTCAAGAAGGGTATTACTTAACTGAGGTTCAAGATTGTCTTCGTCGGTCTCTGTCACTATTTCACTTTGTTTCAACGAAATGTTTCTAGTTTTTTCGAAATGCTGAATGGGTCTTACATGTGGCAAGACAAACTGCATAATGTCGTGTAAATAGTAAGGTTTTTTAGATTTTGCTGATGAACCATTCGCAAGTGGTTTAAGGCTGCATACAAAACCATTCCGAATGTTTTTCCATTTGTCTTTACAATCTGCCCCTATTAAAAATTCACGTGTTTATAAGCAAATATAGCGCGCTTTTCATATAATTTTTTCATATAATTAACTTTTTTTTTTGTTTTAGATATTTAGCTACTGGATGTACATTTACTGCTCTATCTCTATATTTTCAAAGAGGTGAACGTACCGTGGGAAGTATTGTAGAACAAACTTCAAAAGCGATATGGAATGTGTTGAAGGAACCATATATGTCGTTACCAAATACAAAAAAATTGAAACAAATTGCAAGTAGATTTTTTGAGCTATGGCAGTTGCCAAACTGTTTAGAAGCAATTGACGGTAAACATATCCACATTCGGAAATATCCAAATTCGGGTTCCACCAACTTTAATTATAAAAATTAACATTCTGTTGTTTTGTTTGGCTGTTGTGATGCTGAAGGTCTGTTCACAACAATAGAATGCGGATATGCTGGACGAAATAGTGATGGAGGCATCTTTCGGGTTTCCACATTTGGTCGTTGGTTGGAGAACAATAATACTTTGCCATCTTCAACCGAACTTCCAAACGACGAAACTGAGAATAAATTCCCATGTTATTTTGCAGCTGATAACGCATTTCCTTTGGGACAAAATATTATGAGACCATACCCCGAAAGAAATATTAACAATAAAATGGGAATTTTCAATTAGACATAGTCATACATTTATTGTTTTTGTACTATGTACAGTACACACAAATTTATTAGAAGAATCACATTTTTTGGAATGCTTTAAGTCAGTTCCTATGGTCTAAGGATAGAGGAGATTTTGGAGTAATCAACGTTCAGAGAAATATCACAACATGGAATTAAGTACTAAAAGAATGCGGCATGACAATAAATACGAGGAAAAATTGAGTGATCGTGACAGAAGGAAGTGGAGAAGATATGAAGAAGGATCTGAAAATCGAAATGTAGAACGAAGTGTTAGAACAGGTTGATCACTACAAATATTTAGTAGTTACAATCGATGAAAGTGGAAAACGAAAGAAGAGGGAAGACCATTAAACCATACTTTACTAACGAAAAGTTTTTGAAAAGGGAGAAGGTACGAGAAGTACTAAAATTAGTGTATATAAAGCAGTATACAAACTAATATTGACATATGGATGCGAATCATTGAAACTTACAGGGACAAAAGCAATATCTATGCAAAGGATGTGAAATTTCTAAAAAAAATAAAAAATATAACAAGGCGGTAAGGAGTTAGAAATCAAGAGGTCAGAGAACAACTGGGGGTGGAGAATATTTTGGAGTATGTACTGAGTTGGTACATAGCAGAGATGGAGTGAAGAAGTTCGCAGCGAGAGGATTTGTTTGGTATCTCTTGCTTTTTTTGTGATATTATTGACAATTAAATTAATGAATAATTAATGTTTTTTGTTATTATTTTCTGTCTCTTTTGCCAAATTTAATAACTGCATGACCAATTTGTATTTGTTGAATATGCAATTACAAACCCACACGTCATTGTAAGAGCCGCTCCTTACAACATCTAGTCAGGCTAAAAAGAGAACAGCAAGTAAAACAAGTTTGGGAGTGACCTGGGAGGATGGACATAATTTATCAATTTTTGAATATAGAATATTTTTTTCTTATTTTGCAGTGTAATGTAATAAAATATCTCTTCAACGCAACGTTAATTTACACCCTGTATTACAATGCCTGTTGAAAAAATGAAAGGTTTTCAGGCAAGGTTATTAAATATTTTCTTAGTTGAAATGCAATTCATAATAAACGTTACATCATTGTAAAAATAGTTTCTTGCATTTTTCCGTTTTGTTGTCCTTAACAATTTACATACTTAACTACGACTCAATCTTTGTTCAATTTTTCAACATACCTAAAATAAGTTTTTTTTTAATTTTGTGTATTTTTTTATTTCCAATCCAACGATTTTCTTGGTATATATTTTAATTGAATATTTATTGAGAAACACGTTTCATAAATCACGTATTTCTTAATTCTTAGTATATAATTATTAATTCTTCCGATTATTAAAATAAAAATAAACCAACTCATAATTTATAAATTTAGAACCATTTCATAACAAACATGTACATTTGTTTTCATATCAGAGAATTTTAATCATCCCCATCCTCATCCTCATACTCATACTTCTTTCTAAAAGAACCATCTGTATCATATTTATTCATAAGTTGGTCCCATAAAGGTCTATGATACTGTAAAATATATGATAAAATTTTCCCGACTTGTTTCTTCTCTTCCGCACTACATTGAGCACATTCAGTTTTCATAGCAATCGGAATTTGTTCTAAAATATTTATCGAATTTTCCATTTTTCTTCTAATATAATAATTAATAAAACAATTTTACCTTTTAAAGTTTTTCCTTCTTGAGTACAAGGTGCTTTATCCAAAATACAATTGACATAGTTTAGAAATAACCTTTGACTTTTTAATATTTGATCAACATCAACATTATATTTATTTAAAAAAATTCCTTCGCCATCAGCAGGAATAAGCTCAACGTAATGTAATGTTAAAACAATAATAAAAATAATTGAGAATGTGATGGACTTCATCTTGGTGTGGTAAATCGAATACTAATCATTTGGTTGAAAAATGAGTTTAGTCCAAGGTGGACTTGGTATTTTGCTCGGCTGAAATAGTTTAACTTAAATAGATTTTTTTAATTGGTACTTGGAATCGAATAAAAAACTTTTATTTTTTTTCACATGCAACAATTTATTTTTATCAACAAGTTAAAGTGCAATAAATGAATATTCAATAAAATCTTTTCGCGTCCAAGTTGTCATAATAATATCAACGAATAACGGCATAAAAATAATTAATAAAAAAGTTATTAATTATCTTCGGATTCAGAACTGCTTTGATTAGAAGAATTATTCGCAACTCCGTTATTTTTATTCTCCATATATTTTCGGGTATATTCTCCACTTGGATCATATTTTAATTGAAGCGGATTCCAATATTCCGGTTTTTCATCAATTAAAAATGCGATGAATTTCTCAGAACCTTCCTTCTGTTTTTCAGAACAACTTGCACAATTTGTAGCGATAGCATCGGGCATATTATCTAAATTGAAATTATCACAATAAAATAAATAAACGATAAAACATCTTTTTTAAACAATAATAATTACTTCTCAATTCCAATCCGTCTGGTGTACAAGCTCCGGTTTCCAAAAGACACTCAACGTACCTCTTTACCAACCTTTCGTTTTTAATCACTTCATCAATATCGATGTTATCGTATTTGGTGGTATAAGTTGCATTCGCGTCACACAAGACTGAACTTAAAACAAAGAACAGAATAGGAAGTGCCATTTTACAGTTGTAGATTAACGTAAATCGGTGAATGGATGATTTAAAACTGACAAAATTGTGATTGTCCTTTTCGGTTTTTATACCTTATTTTCGAAAAATAAAGTTGTATCAATTTTCACATCATGCAAAGTTGTTAGTTACACAATGTTTCCTTTTCCTTGCATGTTATTTGTAATTTTATCATTGGTATTATGAATTAATTTCAAATTTGAATCAAAATTTGTTTCCGGCTTTTAATAAATAAAATAAATTTGTAATCATTTGTAACAGGAGTACGATTAACAGAATTTATTGTTATTCTATTAGATATTATTATAAGTTTGAACAATTTTAAGTTTCCAATAAAAATAAAAAAATTTCTGACATGGATTGAAAATGTGGATTCTGAGCTATATTGTTAGTTATAAGTTTAATGTTAAATTTCGAATCGTATATTATAACCTAGGCAACCCAAATACCCAATAAATTCCTTTCAAATTCTGCTAATTACTTAAACCATAAATTTTCGCTTTTCCAAACTAAAAGCTTTATTTCAGAAGGAAGTCTCTTCTTCTCGTTAACTAAAAATTAATTTTAAATCTACTTCCACTCGATTAAATACACACAATACTAGTTGACAATTATAAAATTTTATGTAATTTTCTGAGAGGACGCACATTAAGGTATTTGATATCAAAATTTGCTCTAAAGTTAGATTTATTAAATACACAAAAGGACAATTGCAATAAATTTTAAATCGTATATTCTTCTTCGTGTCATTATTGTTCTTATTGGAGATCCAATTCCTGAGATGTCGAATGTCAGCTATCTCGCCATCTCTTTTTGGTTGGTTTTAATTTCGAATCCATGAACCAGTTAATTGGCTCGCTCCAGGAAGATTTCTTCTATGATGAGCAACGATGTTAAAGATGATTTCTTTGAAGCTACCATCGAATGTTTTGTGTTCCAACCAAATGAAGCAAATCTTGGAGATCCAATGATCCGTAATAAATCATCGGCAACAATTCCAAACAATTCTTCCTTATGGAAGGACAACCTCTTCACGAAATTGACATTTCTCGACAATTATGAACCAAAAACGTCAGCAAATGATTAAATTCTTCTATGATCAACGTCTTTGAAACTTAATTTGAATTAGTACTTTGTATGAATTTAGTTTTACGTGGGGGTGAGTTTCTTCACAGCACTTAAAACCAGCTCAATCTTTTCATGAACGTTAATATAGAACAGAAAGGTATGTTCCTTATATCCGAAATTTGGAGCCATGATACTCCGAAAATGGATTCCCTTAAGTACGCGAGGTTGGGACAATCACAAACAATATGACTTACCTTCTCATTTTCCATTTCACACCCTCTACAGAGGGGTGTATTCGCCAGCTTCATGTAAAACATGTACTTACGTAACCTGCAGTGTCCGGTCAGGAAGTGGGTGAGAAGCCTCAAGTCACTTTTTGATTTTCCCAGAAACTAAGTAGATCTCTTTCGGTCAGGGTAGAGCAGAGTTTTCTTAGCATAAACACCTACTGCTGTCCCATCCCATCTGTTGCAAAAAACTCGATGGGAGATGGAGTTTATCAGTTTTATAATAATAATAATAATAACTTTATTTAAACAAAGTACAGCATGGTACAGTATTGACCTCAAAAGAAAAGAAAACAATTAATAATGTTCACATAAAGGAAATGCCAACTACAAATAATAAAATATAACAATTTTCGATGATTCATTTCTCGGTCATCCATTCAAAGTATTCTTGCACAGTATAGTATTCATTTTCCAAGAGGAAATTCTTGACAGTGATTCGAAACTGTTTTACTTCCATGCTTCTTGTTTCCAATGGTAGTGCGTTATATAATTTGACGGCTATATAATCGTATGTGTTTTGTGATTTGACCACTCGGTGATATGAAGTCACAATATTTTCTTTGTATAGGGTGTTGTGTTCGTGATTGTCTACGTGTTTCAGCATCAAATCTTTATTATTATGAGTAAACTCTAGACAGGAGCGTATAAAACAGCACGGCAAGGTAAGTATTTTTAATTTTTTAAATTGGCTTCTACAACTCTCTTGATTTTTTAGTCCAGCCAGTATCCGAACTGCCTTCTTTTGCATAACGAAAATGGCTTCCATCTCTCTAGATACACCCCACGTAATGATCCCATACGTCGCGATAGCATGGAAATATGCGAAGTACACGCTTCGGAATGTCTCGGGTGGAAGGTTTGAACGTATTGTTTTAAGGCAATACAGAGCACTAAACAGTCGCCCTTTCAGGTTTGATATGTGTTTAGACCATTTAAGAGTTTCTGAAATAGTAACTCCAAGGAACTTTATGGATTTATCTATCACTCCATCGCATCGTCTTGTGTGAAAGGTAAGTATGTTTGTTTTTTCTTTATTCATCTTTAACTTATTTATGTAGAACCAATGTTCAGCTTTTTCTATATTTTGTTTTGTTTTTTCTTCCAGCTCCTTGATGTCGCCACTTCTCGTAATAAAAGAATTAATTTTGGTTTTTTACTGTTTGTTTGTATATATATATACTTGTTTTGGAAATGGAAATAAAGTTTATTATTATTATTATTAAAAGGTGTGTCATCTGCATAAAGACAAATTCGTTCTGCTGGAACACTACCTGGTAAGTCATTGATATATATAAGGAGAAGTAATGTACCCAAGATCGAACCCTGAGGCACTCCACTTCTCACTTCTCTCCAGGTGGATTGTTTGCCCCTCCAAAAGACCGATTGTTTTCTAGTCTTCAGATATGATACCAAAAACCCCAGTGCAGTGTTCTTTATTCCATATTTTTCTAATTTGGCTGTCAGTATCGAATGGTCCACTGAATCGAAGGCTTTACTTAAGTCACAAAAGGCGATTTGGGTGAACTGTTCTTGATTGAAACCATGGATTACCGCTCCCAATACACTCAATAGACCAGTTATAACAGATTTTTGTTTTTGGTAACCATGTTGACAATTGGTAAACAATTTGTTATTGTTGAAATAGTCTACCAATTTTTCGTTAACCACTATTTCGAATATTTTTGATAAGGTAGGCAATATAGATATTGGTCTGTAATTACTACATACACTTTTATCTCCCTTCTTAGGTACTGGTGTTATCTTTGCCGACTTTAGCTCCTTTGGAAAAACTCCTTCTAGTAAACATTTGTTTATAACAAAACATAGGTGTTTGCTTATAATTTGTTCTAATTGTTTTATTAGTGCTGATGACAGTTCATATATGTCCTTGGTATTTTTTTCCTTTAGGCCTTGTATTATATTCCCAATCTGCTGTTCGTCCACTTCACCCAGGGATACCATACTTGAAGTTGGCGAATCTATCAAGCTGATAGGATCTATGCAGTTGACTGTAGAGCGTCCTGGTGTAGTCTGAACCTGTGAGAAGAAAAGGTTTAAATCTTCAACATTCAGCTCTGGGTACTCTACTGGTGTTTTTCTAGACTTTCCCGTTTCTTGTTTGACTAATTTCCAAGCCGTTGAAATTTTATTTATCGGATCGACTTACATACTTTCCATAAGCTTCAATCTTCGCTTGATTTAGTTTCTTTGCGTATTCTGCTTTTAATGTCTTGTATATTTCCTTCAAGTGGCTTTTCTTTGTTACTCTAATTACTGTGTACAAGGCGTCTAATTTATTCTTTAATAGTTCTACACTCAGTGTTGGCCATTTCAGATTTTTACCCCCAGTTGTTTTTTAGCTTTCACTTCAGGGAAAGCACTCTGAAAGCTTTTCATTATGGCTGAGTGGAATATTGTAAAACAGGTTTGGGCGTCATTTGTTTTTAAATACATAGGGGCCCAGTTTATATTTTTTAATAAAGTTTTGAATATTTCAATGTTTCTAGGATTTATTTTTCTACGTTTGATCAATATTTGATGATCTGTTTCAACAACCAATTGGAAAGTTGCTATCTGTGCCAAGTGATCTCCAAGATGTGAATTTATTGTCTCCATATCAATAGGGTGGTTGAATCGGTCGCAAAATATATTGTCTACGCAGTGCTTCCCAGTTACTCTGGATGGACTGTTGAAGGTTGGACGTAGTCCGAACTCTGACATTGTTGCTAAGAAGTTATCTCTTATCATACTTGTTTCATTTATACAAATGTTGTAGTCTCCAATTACAAATATATTTTTACTTTGATGTCTTTGATTTATATATGTTAATATTTCTTCTAAGTTTTCCATCATCTCGTTTTTGTCGCCTGCTGGAGGATGATAGACCCCAAGTATTACGGTTCTCAATTTTGGTAGTAGCACGGAACAAACTTCAAAGCATCTTTCTTTATTGTACATGGAGACATCTAGAGTTTGAAAAGTAATAGAATCCTTTACAATTAATTTTGAATAATTTTCATGCTGTAATAACAGCTAGTGGTACAAACGGTTCAGGTGAGATCGGTGACTTAGTACTTTTCATGGAAGAAAACACCAAGGTGTGACTAGTAAGGTTTAGTGCAGAAAATTTTATGTTTATGTATCAGTGAGGAATTGAAGTGCTATGAACACCAGTTGCCGAGGCTGCATCAACAAGTTAACGAGAAACATAAATCGATGGAGCATTCTGGAGATCTCGTTGCAAGGATGTCCACTTCTTTAGGTCGTAAGGAAAATCCTCGTCTCAATTCAGACCACGATTACAGAACGTCGGCAGAAAAACCTTTGAAAAACCTGTGATAATTAACAGAGGACAAACTGAAGGGATTCCTTAGTACGGTTCGCTTGGAGAGTTTGTCGTTCTTTTCATCTCCTTTATTTAATTCAAATAAAAAGTGATATGTGTTGATCACCGGATCAATATCAAACGAGAATATGAGGACAATTATTTCACCAGTAGTCACCGTTGCGGTAATCGTATTATAAACAACGAGACGCATGATATAAGTTACTATGGTTAAATTGTAACTTTGAATGTCTTGCAACTGAAACAAAGTGTATTCGAAATAACGAATTCAGCCCTTTATTTCGTTTCTTTTGACTCTTGTTAGTTTAGTTATTTCGAAAATA